CAGATACACAGCGAGGAGAGGGCCCCAGCAGGCATGATAAAAGCTGCAGAGAAAGACACAACAGTACAACTTCATATCTGAACTGAAAAGTAAGGCGAGACACGGAAAGGGCGAAATATAACATAGCAAGCTTCACGGACAGCATCCCCCACAGGGGAAAGGACCCTTGATCATTTTATCGCTCTCCTCTGGACACATTCCAGCTTGTCAATATCTCTCTTCAATTGTGGTGCCCAGAATTGGACACAATATTCCAGGTGTGGTCTAACCAAGGCAGAATAGAGCATGGGGAGCATGACTTCCCTGGATCTAGACACTAGGCTCCTATTGATGCAGGCCAAAATCCCATTGGCTTTTTTTGCCGCCACATCACATTGTTGGCTCATGTTTCACTTGTTGTCCACAAGGACTCCAAGATCTTTTTCCTGCTCTCGATTCCTTTCCTTCGTCCTTTTCTTTCCCTTCCTCTTTCTCCCCTTTCTTCCTTCTCTACCTATTCTTGGACTGCAACTCCCAGCAGTCCTCCTGATCAATCTACTTACCTACCTTCTATCTAATCTATCTATGTTATCTATCTGGAGGGTTGCTGGGAGTTGCAGTCCAGGAATAAGAAATGGGAAATATGCAGGGATTGGGATGCTCTCAAAGAAATCCAAGGAGAAGGAAGCTTGCATCTTGGAAGCAGTGCATTTCGATCATCTTCTTCTCCTAAAGGGCCTGGTGTAGAGGATGCTGGGAGCTGTAGTCCAGGAGAGAGTGTGGATATGCTATTGTGTGTTTTGTTTGCTGGGAGGGGGGAGTCATTTTGTGCATGCGTTTTGTTTTTTGTTTATTGGCTTTTTTTGCTTTTTAAGTCCCTTCCACTGTATTTTTCAGTGTTTTTATGAGTGATGGTCACTCATTGGCCTGATAGGTGTCTTGTGTCCAAATTTGATGTTAATTCGTCCAGTGGTTTTTGAGTTATGTTAATTCCACAAATGAGTATTACATTTTTTATTTATATAGATAATATACACAGAGAGACGTATACAGGAATGACTCCTCTTACTTACTTAGGCAATCCCTCGTAGTCTGAGGATGATGGTCCTCCAAGTTCAGTGTCCTGGCGGTGGGTCCGTAGGTGACTATGGAGCCCTATTCTTGATCTGCATATTTTTCCGCAGTGAGTACATTGGTTTCCAGGTGGAAGGCGGTCTCAGTCGGGGTTGGCTTGACGCGCCTTCCTCTTGGCACGTTTCTCTCTTTCACCCTCCATTCACTCTCTATGTGGGGTTGCCTTTGAAGACGGCTCGGAAGCTCCAACTAGTCCAACGCTCGGCAGCCATGATTTTAACAGGAGCGGAGCGCAGGGAGCATACAACCCCCCTGTTGCGCCAACTCCACTGGCTACCGATTTGCTACCGGGCTCAATTCAAAGTGCTGGCGTTGGCCTTTAAAGCCCTAAACGGTTCCGGGAACCTTTGGCCCTCCAGGTGTGGTGGACTTCAACTCCCACAATTCCTTGAGGCTCGGCATTCGCCCCAAAGGCTTACCTTGGCCCAACGAGGTTTGTTTGGCTCTTTTTCATGGAGGACGGGCAGCAAAGGGGGAGAGACGAGCGTAACGTAGCTGTGCAGATGGCGAGGAAGGATGCGGAGCCTACAGACTGGCCTCGGAGGGAGAGAGCGGGCGGAAACCCCTGCGGGCAACGCGCCTCCTCGCCGCTTAAACAGCGCAGAGCCCTTTCCCTCCAGCCTTCGCCTTCCCTTTTCCCCGACAAGCTCTGCACGACGTCACTCAGCCGGCGTCGTTGCTAGGGAGGGGGTCCATGCGGGGCGGGTGCTAAGGGCCGAAGCGGCGAGGAAGCGCGTTGCCCGCAGGGGTTTCCACCCGCTCTCTCCCTCCGAGGCCAGTCTGTGGGCTCCGCATCCTTCCTCGCCATCTGCACAGCTACGTTACGCTCGTCTCTCCCCCTTTGCTGCCCGTCCTCCATGAAAAAGAGCGAAACAAACCTCGTTGGGCCAAGGTAAGCCTTTGGGGCGAATGCCGAGCCTCAAGGAATTGTGGGAGTTGAAGTCCACCACAGCTGGAGGGCCAAAGGTCCCCTACCCCTGTAAACGGTTCCGGCCCAAGCTACCTATCCGACCGCATCTCTGCCTATGAACCCACCAGGACTTTGAGATCTTCCGGGGAGGTCCTGCTTCGATCCTGCCTGCTTCTCAAGCACGGCTGGCGGGGACGAGAGATAGGGCCTTCTCGGTTGGCTCCTTGGCTGTGGAACGCCCTTCCCATGGACATTAGGCTTGCACCATCTCTAATGGTATTCCGTAAAAAAGTTAAGACCTGGCTGTTTGAGCAGGGGTTCGAATAATTAGTGCAATAATTGGTAATGAACATAGGAATGGAAAATGGTTGACGAGTCTGGATTATGTTTCTGTGGATGAGACGATAGTGAATAGTTATTGTAGTAGTGTTTATTAATTGTGTGTTGTGCGGGATTGTTAACTGTTTTATATCTGGCATTGAATTTCTGCTGTTCTTATTGGTTGTGAACCGCTGTGAGTCGCCTTCGGGCTGAGAACAGCGGTATATAAGTAAAGTAAAGTAAATAAATAAATAAATTTGTGCCTCTTCAAATTCTGCAGCACTGCTGGTCACAGCTGATCTCCAGTTGGAGCGGTCAAGGGCCAGGGCTTCCCAGTTCTCAGTGTCTATGTCAGAGTTTTAAAGGTTGGCTTTGAACTCATCTTTAAATCTCTTTTCCTGCCCACCAACATTCTGTTTTCCATTCTTGAGTTCGGAGTAGAGCAACTGCTCTGTGAGACGGTGGTTGGGCATCCGAACAACATGGCGGGTCCAGCGGAGTTGATGGCGGAGCACCATCGCTTCAGTACCGGTGGTCTTTGCTTCTTCCAGCACGCTGACGTTTGTCCACCTGTCTTCTCAAGAGATTTGCAGGATTTTCCGGAGGCAGCGCTGATGGAATCGTTGGAATAATGGAATGACTCCTCTATTAGAGGACACACAACCCGAAAAAGAAGTTGTTCCTCACTCTTTGACTCATTTGTTTTCAGACCTTTTTCCTTGGGGCAAAACTTCTTTTGACACTTTGATCCAAGAAGAAGAAGAAACATATTTGAGTAGATTTTCTGGAAGGCAGTCTGCTTTTGAAGAAACTGGTAGTAAACAATACCATACGTGTTGCATACACATCTCTGTGTAATTGTTGGGGCCTCAGGAGGTTTCTGTGTCGTGTTAAGAGTTTCGTAAACTCAACATGCCAATCCCATCGAAGCATGTCATTGAGTGCTTTACAAGTCCTTCTGGGTGGTCTAGTTGAAAACATATATTTTACGGAGTCATAAATGTATGGCAACAAGGGAAATGAAATCTCAAGAGCCATTTAGTCCAAAACACATCCCAGTGGCTATTCGTGACATCACAAGTATATACATATATAGTTGTCCCCCTGAATGTGTGCATTCTCTATCCCAAGATTTAATCCTCAAAGGCTTGAAAAAAATATGAGGGTTGAATGAAAAGTAATGCTTCCACCTTCGTAACTCCTCAACAGATGGCAGTACTGGTATGTGGCAGGTACTGACTTGTTCAGTAGACTCTCCTCTACAGTTCCATTTTGGCGGAAAGCCTTAGCATTAAACAGATGTGTTTTTAAAGTGCAAAGTATGGAACACTGCGCAGACGGTCAGTCAATGCGTCTTAAGCAATGCTCTTACGGAAAGAGGAGAGAGGTGGGGCCTGTCTTATTTCCCTTGGAAGGGCGTTACAGAGGCAGGGGGCCACCACCTAGAAGGCCCTCTCTCTCGTTCCCACCAGCTGTACTTGTGCCGGTGGTGGGAGCGAGAGAAGGGCCTCCCCGGAAGATCTTAGAGTGCACGCCACTTCATAGAAGGAGATGCAAGAAAAGGGTGATGGAGGTGGTGTGCATGCGCACAATGGATCCAACCAAAGCAGACTCAATTCAACTGTCTAGATGGCCACAAAGATCTTGGATACGTCAGAGTTTCCTCCAAAGTATCCCCTTATTTTATTTAGTGTGAACCAAAGTGGGACAAGGGCTAAATACTCCAGAAGTCAACATGCGTCACGAAGACGATGATACCAGATTCAGGGTATTTGTGTGTGTGCTTGTGTACGTATGTGGACATGACCTCATTCTCCCTTTTCACGTTGTTCTCTGCCCTGCAGGCAGAAGAACCGGATGGAGAAGACAGAAGGAGGGACCTTGCGCAAGTGGGATATTGCCTTCGGAACAACTAAGTGGCTTCATAAGAAGGTTGCCAAGTTCTCAGAGCAAGAAGAAGGGCTCCTTGGGGATCTCAAAAGGACACAGAGGAACTGCTGAAGGAAATCCCTACCATTTCATCTCCAGCCATGAATGTGGTCCTAGCTGCCTTGCTGACTCTTCTAGCATCTATGGAACTTGGTAAAGTTGCTTTTCATGCAGGAATATTTCTACACACCTGGGATCTGTCTCTGAAAATTGTAGGGGCAAACGCAATGAAAAGTCTACCTCTGAACTGTACTAGCTCAGATGTAGACTTTTCATTACAAGTCTCTGAGACGTGGAAGTTTGCATTATGCTGATTCTTATAATACTGAGTAAGCATCCCTTATATTAGTGTTTCTCAACCTGGGGGGCGGGACCCCTGAGGGGGTCGTGAAGGGGTGTCAGAGGGATCGTCAAAGACCATCAGAAAACACAGTATTTTCTGATGGTCCTGGGGATTCTATGTGGGAAGTTTGAGCCAATTCTATCGTTGGTGGTGACGGCATTAGGAAGGCTGAGAACCACTGCCTTATCTGAAATGCTTAGGAGCAGAAGCCTTGCATATTTTGCGATACTTGCATATACATCATGAGATATATTGAAGGTGAGGGCCAAATATAAACACAAAAACACAGAACTGGATGTGATTATTGCAGGTGAGGTCAGATAACAGCAGAATAGACTTCCCTCAATCTAGACACCATACTCAATGTGGAATCACATTGGTTGTTTGAGCTGTCACATCACACTTGTCTCGTGTTCAGCTTGGGGAAAACAACAGGAGTCGTAGAATCATAGAATCAAAGAGTTGGAAGAAACCCCATGGGCCATCCAGTCCAACCCCCTTCCAAGAAGCAGGAAAATCACTCCGGGGCAGAGAGTTCCACTGCTGAACAGCTCTCACAGTCAGGAAGTTCTCTTAGGAGACACCAGTTGAACATGACTAAACAGTGTGATGCAGCACTTCCAAAAGGCAATATGATGCTAGGTTGCATCAATAGGTTTATAGTGTCAGATTCAGGGAAGTCATAGTCCAATCCCTTCTGCTTTGGTCAGGTGTCATTTGGAGCATAGATCATAGAATCATAGAGTTGGAAGAGACCTCATGGGACATCTGCCAAGAAAGCACCCCCGAAGATGGCCATCCAGCCTCTGTTTAAAAGCTTCCAAAGAAGGAGCCTCCACTACACTCTGAGGCAAAGAGTTCCACTGCTGAATGGCTCTCACAGTCAGGAAGTTCTTCCTCATGTTCAGATGGAATCTCCTCTCTTGTAGTTTGAAGTCGTTGTTCCGCGTCCTAGTCTCCAGGGAAGCAGAAAGGAAGCTTGCTCCCTCCTCCCTATGACTTCCCCTCACATATTTATACATTGGCTATCATGTCTTTCAGTCTTCTCTTCTTCAGGCTAAACATGCCCAGCTCTTTTAGCCGCTCCTCATAGGGTTCCAGTCTAAGCAATTAATTTCCTTATGTTGTCTCCATACGTTATTGAAAACACTCTCAGATCCCTTTCACATGGGCACAGTTGTGCCAAAGAGGAGCCAACAAATTTTGAATTAATGCTCTTAACACCATTCCCTTTGGCTCTTTCAGCTCATGCTCTGCGGTGCTACACCTGCAAGAGGCCTACAGACCTTGCAAAATGTGTCTCCATAACAAACTGCTCCGAGGAGATGACTGCCTGCAAGACCACCGTGCTCTCTTTGGATACAGGTAAGGGAAAACTCATGATCACAGAGGGTGCATCTATACAACTTAACTACACTTTACCTGCCATGGTTCAATGCTACAGAGTCATTGGAACTGTAGCTTTCCAAGGCCTTTGCCAAAAAGGAAACAAAATATGTTTAGACATACGAGGGTTGAATGAAAAGTAATGCCTCCACCTTCGTAACTACTCAACAGATGGCAGTATTGGTATACGGCAGGTACTGGCTTGTTCAGTCGACTCTCCTCTACAGTTTCATTTTGGCAGGAAGCCTTAGCATTGAATGGTTGTGTTGTTAAAGTGTGAAGTATGGAACCCTGCGCAGACTGTCGGTCAATGTGACTTAAGCAACGTGCAGTCCTTGAATTCTTGACAGCAGAAAGTGRCACCCCGAAGGAGATTCATCAGAGAATGCAAGCTGTTTATGGTGATTATGTTGATATGAGTACTGTACGTCATTGGGCAAGTAAGTTTAAAGATGTTGAGGTGACACCTTCTGCTGTCAAGAATTCAATGACTGCACGTTGCTTAAGTCGCATTGACCGACCGTCTGCGCAGGGTTCCGTACGTCGCACTTTATCAACACAACTGTTCAATGCTAAGGCTTCCCACCAAAATGGAACTGTAGAGGAGAATCTACTGGACAAGCCACTACCTGCCGCATACCAGTACTGCCATCTGTTGAGGAGTTACGAAGGTGGAGGCATTACTTTTCATTCAACCCTTGTAGCTTACTAAAGTTCATATTCTAAGAAAGGTAAAAGYGTAAAAAGTCAAAATATTCATGCAGTTATATTTTGCCTGGAGAAAGGCAAAATGTGTCCCCACTGGAAGGAAGGCAAAGGTAGAGAGAGGGCAATGGAGAATGACCACATGCCCAAACTGAGGGCAATAGAAATACATTTAAAGAGGAAGTAACCTCATCCGTCAATGCAGGGTTCCATACTTCGCGCTTTAACAACACAACTGTTCAATCTAAGGCTTCCCACCAAAATGGAACTGTAGAGGAGAGTCTACTGGACAAGCCAGTACCTACTGCATACCATTACTGCCATCTGTTGAGGAGTTGCGAAGGCGGAGGCGTTACTTTTCATTCAATTCTCGTAGTTTTTTGTTCTTCATCTTCCTCTGACATTGCTGCCTCATTACTCTATTTCAGGATACCCGTTCTTTGGAAACGTATCCGTGGAGAAGTCCTGCTCCAAAAACTGTGTCCCTTCTGATCCAGATGCACTCGGCGAGCGCCACCCTGACTATTGCTGCTACACGGATTTGTGCAATGTTCGTGCGGGGTCAGAGGTCAACACCACTGTCTCCACCACGACCATCATGGTCACTTTGGCCCTGGCCCTTCTCTGGACAGGATTGTAAGGTTTCGCTTCGGAGACGTCCGGTAAAGAAACCTTCCCAGTACGAAAACTGCAGAGACTTCTAAGCACTTTGGGTGGGTTTCTTGCCCAAAATGCATTGATCCAACTGTACCAAAAGTTGGGCCTTGAGATCAACAACAACAATGACAACAAGACTTCATTACGGGCCATGACCAGCAGAAAGTGGGGCACAAACACCCTGGGAAGGGGAATCATGAGAGATCCAGAAAATGTCAGGAACAGACATTGATGATCTTTGACTCCAGAGAAGCTGCATAAAGAGGTTCATAATATATGTTGAAAATTAGCATAGTGGGTCATCGATAAAGCCAAATTGGTAACAACGGATCCACTGTCTGATTCAAGAGATATTTAAGACTGGAATCCAACAAAAGCCGGAGTTGTTTTTATGGGGAGTGTTATAGGAGAGTGCTACAACATACAATTAGTGCCGGAACATGCAATTATCGCGGCAACGTATCATTACTCCAGCAAAACTGTTATATGCAAAGGAACGGAAAAATACAGAAAAATACTATCTTGGGAAGACTGGATGATGTAAATGCTGAAGAAGTTGCGAGGCCTGAGGTAATTATTATTAGTATTAGTATTATTATTATTATTATCTTTATTTGTACCCTAGCATCTCCGAAGGACTCGATGCGGCTTACAAAGGCCAAGGCCTCAAAACACAACATAACAATACAAACACCTAAAGCAAATTAAAAACAGTTAAAGCAATATTACACAACAAGCAGTAAACAATACAACAAGACACTATAAAACTGGCCCGGGTCAGAGTAATGGGTACAGGGTTAAAAGTGCTGATGTGACAGGTGATATGTAAGGATTATAGGGTAAGTGCAGTGTGCAGTGTGCGGCAATCTCAATTCTAGTAAAGTGCTTCTGGGACTTGTTGTGGAGATTCCTATTCTGGAAAGGCACATCGGAACAGCCAGGTCTTCAAATTCTTTCTAAAGACTGCCAATGTAGGGGCCTGTCTAAGATCTTTGGGGAGGGTGTTCCAGAGTCGGGGGCCACCACAGAAAAGGCCCTGTCTCGCGTCCCCACCAAACGCGCCTGCGACGCAGGTGGAATCACGAGCAGGGCCTCTCCGGATGATCGAAGTGAGCGCGTGGGTTCATAGACGGAGATGCGGTCATGCAGGTAGGCAGGTTCCAAACCGTTCAGGGCTTTGTAGGTAAGCACCTGCACCTTAAATTGGGCTCGGAAAATAAACGGCAGCCAGTGGAGCTCCTTGAACAGGAGGGTTGACCTCTCTCTGTAAGGGGCCCCAGTTAACATCCTGGCTGCTGCCCGTTGGACCAGTTGGAACTTCCGAGCCGTTTTCAAGGGCAGCCCCACGTAGAGCGCATTGCAGTAGTCCAATCTGGAGGTGACCAAGGCATGGACCACCCCGGCCAGATCAGCCTTCGCGAGGTACGGTCGCAGTTGGCGCACGAGTCTCAATTGTGCAAAAGCCCTCCCGGACACCGCCGACGCCTGAGCCTCAAGCGTATATAGTCATTGGGAGGAAAGTTGAGCATCGACTTTGCTTGTTGTTAACCTGTGTGTATTTCTTATTTCTAGTATTAGTTTTAGTAGTTGGCAGCACAGTAGTAGATAATACTATGTATATATGTATTATATTATGTTGTCGGTGACTATTGTATGTACATTTTACTAAAAACATATTAAATTTTTCTAAAATAAAACTTCGGAAAAATGAAAGAAGTGTTTATATAGTCAATATTCAGCATATATTGATTCTGTTTCTCCTAAATAAATTGAAAGCTAATTCTATTTTCTTCTAAAGCAGAGTCTCAACCTACTTCGATGAGTCCCAAACCCATTATTATTAGTAGCAGTAGTTGTTATTATTATTATTATTATTATTATTATTATTTATTTGAAACACAACAAGATGAGTCCACAGCAAACAAGATCACTCTGCTGGCTGTTGTATTGGATCACAGTCGGACCCTTCGCAAGTGTCAAGGACTGTGTGATATATTATTATTATTATTATTATTATTATTATTATTATTATTATTGAATCATAGAATCAAAGAGTTGGAAGAAACCTCCTGGGCCATCCAGTCCAACCCTCTGCCAAGAAGCAAGAAAAATGCATTTAAAGCACTCCCAACAGATGGCCATCCAGCCTCTGTTTAAAAGCTTCCAAAGAAGGAGCCTCCACCACACTCCGGGGCAGAGAGTTCCACTGCTGAATGGATCTCACAGTCAGGAAGTTCTTCCTAATGTTCAGATGGAATCTCCTCTCTTGTAGTTCAAAGCCATTGTTCCGCGTCCTAGTCTCCAGGGAAGCAGAAAACAAGCTTGCTCCCTCCTCCCTGTGGCTTCCTCTCACATATTTATACATGGCTATCATATCTCCTCTCAGCCTTCTCTTCTTCAGGCTAAACATGCCCAGCTCCTTAAGCCGCTCCTCATAGGGCTTGTTCTCCAGATCGTTTTAGTCGCCCTCCTCTGGACACATTCCAGCTTGTCAATATCTCTCTTGAATTGTGGTGCCCAGAATTGGACACAATATTCCAGGTGTGGTCTAACCAAGGCAGAATAGAGGGGTAGCATGACTTCCCTAGATCTAGACACTATGCTCCTATTGATGCAGGCCAAAATCCAATTGGCTTTTTTTGCCACCACATCACATTGTTGGCTCATGTTTAACTTGTTGTCCACGGAGACTTCAAGATCTTTTCACACGTACTGCTCTCGAGCCAGGCATTGTCCCCTGTTCTGTATCTTTGCATTTCGATTTTCCTGCCAAAGTGGAGTATCTTGCATTTGTCCCTGTTGAACTTCATTTTGTGAGTTTTCGCCCTTCATCTCTCTAATCTGTCAAGATCGTTTTGAATCCTGCTCCTGTCCTCTGGAGTACTGGCTCTCCCTCCCCATTTGGTGTCGTCTGCAAACTTGATGATCATGCCTTCTAACCCTTCATCTATTAATAAAGATGTTGAACTGGGCCCAGGATGGAAGCCTGCTGATGGCACTCTGCTCGTCACTTCTTTCCAGGATGAAGAGGAAGCCTTGGGGAGAATCACCCTCTGCGTTCGTCCATTTAACCAATTCCAGATCCACCTCACCGTAATTTTGCGTAGCCCACATTGGACTAGTTTCCTTGCCAGAAGGTCATGGGGGACCTTGTCGAAGGCCTTACTGAAATCCAGGTACACTACATCCACGGCATTCCCCGCATCTACCCAGCTTGTAGCTCTATCGAAGAAAGAGATCAGATTAGTCTGGCATGACTTGTTTTTGATAAACCCATGTTGATTATTATTATTATTATTATTATTATTATTATTATGTTGATTTATATCCCGCCTTCACTCTCCATATGGAAACTCAAGGTCTCCCCAAGATGTACTATCCCAGCATTTCTCAACTTGAGGGTTGGGGCCCCTGCGAGGGGGGTCACAAGGTGGTGTCAGAGAGGTCGGCAAAGACCATCAGAAAACACAAAAGTCTTTTCTGTTGGTCATGGGTGTTCTGTATGTGAATTTTGGCCCAATTCCACCATTGGTGGGGTTCAGAATGCTCTTTGATTGTAGGTGAACTATAAATCCCAGCAACTACAAGGAGGGAGCAAGCTTGTTTTCTGCTTCCTTGGAGACTAGGACGCGGAACAATGGCTTCAAACTACAAGAGAGGAGATTCCATCTGAACATTAGGAAGAACTTCCTGACTGTGAGAGCCGTTCAGCGGTGGAACTCTCTGCCCCAGAGTGTGGTGGAGGCTCCTTCTTTGGAAGCTTTTAAACAGAGGCTGGATGGCCATCTGTCAGGGGTGATTTGAATGCAATATTCCTGCTTCTTGGTAGAATGGGGTTGGACTGGATGGCCCATGAGGTCTCTTCCAACTCTTTGATTCTATGATTCTATGAACTACAACTCCCAAATGTCAAGGTCTTTTTTTTTTTTCCCCAACTCCATCAATGTTCAAATTTGGGCATATTGAGTATTCGTGCCAAGTTTGGTTCAGATCCATCATTGTTTGAATCCACAGACATCACAACCTCTGGGGATGCCTGCCATGGATGTGGGCGAAACGTCAGGAGAGAATGCTTTTGGAACATGGCCATACAACCTGGAAAACTCACAGCGACTCAAAGATAGGAAACATTTCATTGCAACACCCATTAGGAGCAGCAGGTGGCGCTGTTGGGCAGCAATGCAGGCCTTACATAAAAAGCCATCCAAAGCAAGGGGAGGATTATTTAGAGCAGGATCAAACCAAGTAGGCAGTGAAAGCAGGGGGAGAAAATGACAAGCGGATAAGGAGGAGGGTTTCCTTGGCTCTGTGCTCCCCTCCGCCTTGCAGAAGTGGCCTCTCCCGACCTGTCAAAGCTGTCAAGGAGGAAGCCGGCATTGGAGGCTGCTTGGCGTGACCTCCTGCCCTCTTGGAGGCCTGGACAAAAAAGGAAAGCCACCTTTCTCTTGAGTTTTTTTTAAATTTGTATTTGAATAATTTCTTGTTCTGTTTTGCCATTTGCACCATTTCAGGTCCTATTTTGGCATTTGCATAATTTCTCGTTTTGTTTTTGCATTTGCACCATTTCTTGTCCTATCTTTGCATTTGCCCATTTCTTACCCTATTTTTGCATTTGCCCATTTCTTGTCCTATCTTTGCATTTGCCCATTTCTTGCCCTATTTTTGCATTTGCCCATTTATTGTTCTGTTTGGGCATTTGCACCATGGGGGCCCTGGCCTGGCTTTTGGGGGGTGCCGCCGCCTTCTTTGGCCTCCTGGACGGCTGGTACCTGCTCCGGATGCCCGTCATCTACATCTACGCCCGCTGGGTCCTGCCGACGGTGTGGGACCTGCTGCAAGAGCAAAGCTTCCAGAGCCGGGTGCTGCTCTCCGATCTGGACTTCCTGCTGCACATGAACAATGCGCGCTACCCCCGCGAGGCGGATCTGGCCCGCTCGGTGCACTTGACCCGTTGCGGCCTCTTCCGGGCCATCCGGGCCCTCGGGGGCCACACCGTCCTGGCCGCCTCCTGCTGCCGCTTCCGACGCTCCTTGCAATTTTGGGAGCCCTTCGAGATCCGGACCCAAGTGCTGGGCTGGGACGAGCGGGCCTTCTTCCTCGAGCAGCGCTTTGTCAGCGGGAGGGACGGATTCATTTGCGCTGTCCTGCTGGTGCGACAGCATGTGGTGGGGGCCACGCCGGAGAAGGCCGTGCAAATGCTGTGCCGCAGAAAGGTAATGCTGAAGATGGAAACTCAGGTGCATCTGCACCAGGCATAGGCCAACTTTGGCCAACCCTTCATGCGTTTTGGACTTCAACTCCCACAATTCCTAACAGCCGATAGGCTGTTAGGAATTGTGGAAGTTGGAGTCCAAAGCACCTGGAGGGCCCAAGTTTGCTCATACCTGATCTTCACTGTCAAACCAACCCTGGGAGTTGCAGTTCCGTAAAGTCAATAACAATAAATTGCACCAATACAAGACTTGGCTCAGAAATAGTCCATGTCAAGTCTTGCTGGGGTTGCCTTTGAAGACTGCCCGGAAGCTGCAGCAAGTCCAACGCGCAGCAGCCAGATTACTAACGGGTGCTGGGTACAGGGAGCACACCACTCCGCTGTTACACCAGTTCCACTGGCTGCCAATTAGCTTCCGAGCACAATTCAAAGTGCTGGTGTTAACCTATAAAGCCCTAAACGACTCCGGCCCTGTTTACCTCTCCGAACGTATTCTCCCCTATGAACCATCAAGATTATTAAGATCGTCTGGAGGGGCCCTGCTCTCGGTCCCACCGGCCTCGCAAGCGCCTGGTGGGGACGAGGGACAGGGCCTTCTCGGTGGTGGCCCCGCGACTCTGGAACTCTCTCCCTCTGGAGGCCAGAACCGCCCCATCCATCCTAACATTTAGGAAACAGGTGAAGACGTGGCTATGGAGTCAGGCCTTCGATGAATGAGGCAACACCATAGGACCCTGGATGGAAGTTGATGTAGATCCATCTTAATAGGACGACTGACCACTGTAGTTTTATATATAGTGTTTTTAAAGTTGTTTTTGTAATTGTGATATATGATATTTTAATGAGCGTATATGTTTTTTATGGCTGGAAACCGGGCTGAGTCCCTCAATGAGGTTGAGAAGCTCGGTATAGAAAACTGTTAAATAAATAAATAAATAAATAAATAAATTGCTGCTACTTCATCACACTAGCAGGCATGGGCAAACTTTGCCCTTCCCTCCAGGTGTTTTGGACTTTGACTCCCACAATTCCTAACAGCCTTTAAACAGCTGCCCCGAGTCACTACGGGGAGATAGGGTGGGTTATTATTAAAGTAGTAGTAGTATTATACTAATTACTCTACCAGAAAAGCCCTGAGCCTCACTATTTATTTATTTACTTTACTTTACTTTACTTTACTTTACTTTACTTGTATACCGCAGTTTCTCAGCCTAACCGGCGACTCAACGCGGTTTACAACAAGGGTAAAATCAATCACAATATACAATTTAAAACACAAAAGCACAATATACAGTATTACACAACAATAACAACACAATGCTTCTCATCACTAGAGTCATGATCCAAATTCGTCGTCCATATTTCCATTCCTGTAATCGTCACATTCATTGCACTGATTAACCAAATGCCTGTTCGAACATCCAAGTTTTTAATCTTCTTCGGAACACCATTAGCGAGGGGGCTGATCTTACCTCCATGGGAAGGACTTAAATCAACATCAACGACTTAAATCAAGAAATAGTGGATTAGGGATCAGTTGGTTTTCCCTGTAATAGGCAGTAAGAGCACCTAGAGCTTCGGTGGCGGGGAATAAATAAAGTATTATTATTATTATTATTATTATTATTATTATTATTATTATTATTATTATTATGAATTGTCATATAAAACTGGTTCCCGCCATGCGTTGCTGTGGCCCACATGGGTGTTCAGTGTAGGAGGTTTGGCCCAATTCTATCATTGGTGGTGTTCAAAATGCTCTGTGATTGTAGGTGAACTATAAATCCCAGCAACTACAACTCCCAAGTGTCAAGATTCTATTTTCCCCAAACTCCACCAGTGTTCACATTTGGGCATATTGAGTATTCGTGTAGAGTTTGGTCCAGATCCATTATTGTTTGAGTCCACAGTGATCTCTGGATGTAGGTGAACTACAACTCCAAAACCAAAGGACACTGCCCACCAAACCCTTCCAGTATTTTCTGTTGGTCATGGGAGAACTGTGTGCCAAGTTTGGTTCAATTCCATCATTGGTGGGGTTCAGAATGCTCTTTGATTGTAGGTGAACTATAAATCCCAGCAACTACCAGTCCCAAATGACAAAATCAAACATTTTTGAGTGAAGGACATACATTGGGTTGTTAAGTGTCTTGTGTCCAAATTTGTTGTCAATTCGTCCAGTGGTTTTTGAGTTCTGTTAATCCCACAAACGAACATTACATTTTTATTTATATAAATTTGAACCCTGCCCTTCTCACCCCTGAAGGTGGACTCAGGGCGGCTTCACAGCAAGCACCATTCGTTGCCATCACAATAATAAAAACAATCAACAGATTCATTAAAAACAGAACATTAAATAAACAGTTGTTAAAACACAACAGTTAAAATCAGTCCGGGTCAATTCATTGTCACTTCAAGTTGCTTATATTATGCTGTCGCACGTTGGGCCTGTGCATAAGACTGTAGACAGGACATAAATTCTGTGTGCCCAACGGGACGCCGGGGCTGCCTCAGATTAAAGGCCCTTGGATTTTCCCAAACAGAGTCTTTAGATTGCTTAAAGGTTCAACAAAGTTCTTTACTAATGAAAACAAACAGGTACTTTAAGGCTTTCTTAACAGTCTATTGGCTCTCTCTCTCAATCTTGTCCACGGGGAACAGGCACTATCTTCATAACTGTAACTAATGGAGAAATCCTAATCTGGGCAGTCTGTCTTTGCCTCTGTTGGCGTGGAGCCCCTGCACCCGGTACCAACTGCGTCTGGCTTCCACGAGTAACCCTTACCAAGCAAGGCTTTGTAGACTTCCAGGGAAAAAGGAGTTCAGGTTTCAGTGATGGCTGGCTGAAGTCCCTCAGCAAAGGAGCTGTAAGGTTGTATGATCCTTGGCCAAGCTGTGGGCTGTATATCTCCCCGGCCAAGCCGTAGAAGACGAAGCTTTCTACAGGAGCTCTTGGTATTATGTCCTGTATGGAAGGCTTCTCTGTGTGGACTGAACCCAAACTGGCTCCTATTCCCTCCAAAACCCAAAAAGGGGGCAGGACCAGGGAACCTAACTATAATTGACAGGTGGCTTGCCCTATGATTGCAGCCAAAAGAAGCCACCTATCTGCAGAGTCCCTGAAACGTAGGACTACAACAAACATTCAATGCAAAGCAAACAAAATTGGAGCTCCTGGTGCAGTTGTACCTGCACATATATCAAATGCAAGGTCCCACAACCAAGTCTTGAGTTTCCTTCTGAAGGACAGGAGGGAGGTGGCCAATCTGATGTCTCTGGGGATGGAATTCCACAGATTGGGAGCCACTACTGAGAAGACCCTGTCTCTCGTCCCCATCAATTGTGTTTGTGATGGTGGTGGGATCAAGAGCAGGGCCTCTCCGGATGATCTTAAACTTTGTGATGGTTCATAACAGGAGATATTTCGGATATATAGTTTGGGTCAGAACCGTTTAGGTCTTTAAGGGTTAAAACCAGCGCTTTGAATTGTGTTCGGTGACAGATCGGCAGCCAGTGGAGCTGGCGTAACAGAGGAGTTGAATGCACTCTGTACGCCGCTCCGGTGAGCAACCTGACTGCCAATCGTTGGACTAATTCAGTGTTACTCAACCTGGGGGTCGGGACCCCTGGGGGGGGTCACGAGGGGGTGTCAGAGGTCACCAAAGACCATCAGAAAAGACAGTATTTTCTGATGGTCATGGGGATTCCATGTGGGAAGTTTGAGCCAATTCTATCGTTGGTGGAGTTCAGAATGTTCTTTGATTGTAATGAACTATAAATCCCAGCAACTACAACTCCCAAATGTCAAGATCTATTTTCCCCCTACTCCACCAGTGTTCACATTTGGGCATATTGAGTATTCGTGCCAATTTTGGTCCAGATCCACCATTGCATGAGTCCACAGTGCTCTCTGGATGTAGGTGAACTACAATTCCCAAACTCAAGGTCAATGCCCACTAAACCCTTCCAGTGTTTTCCGTTGGTCATGGGAGTTCCGTGTGCCAAGTTTGGTTCAAATCCATCATTGGTGGAGTTCAGAATGCTCTTTGATTAGAGGTGAACTATAAATCCCAGAAGCTACAGCTTCCAAATGACAAAATCAATCCTCCCCCAACCCCACTAGCATTCACATTTGGGTGTCTTGGGTATTTGTGCCCAGTTTGGTCCAGTGAATGAAAATACATCCTGCATATCAGATATTTACATTATGATTTATAACAGTAGTAAAATGTATTGTCGAAGGCTTTCATGGCTGGAATCAGTAGGTTCTTGTGGGTTTTTCCGGGCTATAGAGCCATGTTCTAGAGCCATGTTGAGACCTCACTACCTCTGAGGATGCTTGCCATAGATGCAGGTGAAACGTCAGGAGAAATGCCTCTAGAACATGGCTCTATAGCCCGGAGAAACCCACAAGAACCTAGTAGTAAAATGACTGTTATGAAGTAGCAACAAAAACAATGTTATGGTTGGGGGTCACCACAACATGAGGAACTGGATTAAGGGGTCGCGACGTTAGGTGGGTTGAGAACCACTGGACTAATTGAAGCTTCCGGGCAGTCTTCAAAGGCAACCCCACACAGAGCGCATTGCAGTAGTCTATCATCCATAGATTTCCATATTTTCTCTCCCTTCCGCCTGGTTTGCAGGTGGAGTCTCCAGAGCTTCCTGAAGAAGTCCTCCACTGGATGAAATACAGCGAAGCCAGCAGCCGCCGACTCCGGGCTGAAAGTGACTTCCCGCAAGATAGCAAAGACCAGTAGCGAGATGCCTCCGACCTGTCCGTTTACTTGATCTGTTTTGGAGTATACTTGATGATGCCTCTTCTTTCTGATAGCCGTTGTGACGTCAACCGTTGACCCTTCTCTATACTTTTGACGATGGTAGCACCAGAGCCAGGGAAATGGATGGTTAAGAGCAGCATCCCCAGAAACACGGAAGACCGCATTGGCAACACTTTAGAAGCACTGAGCTTAGCTCTAGGAAGGCGAAACCTCACTTACCTTCTAGATTTGGAGGGTCACCACAAATCCAAAGCACTGGAGAAGTCAAAGGGTTATGCAGTTGAGTCTTATTATGGACTGAAGGGTCATCTAGATCCAAACAAATTAATCAATAGCCAGGTGGGATTTTTGTGGCCTTCCAGGTGTCGTTGGACTACAACTCCTAGCATCCCTCACTGTTGGCTATGCTGGCTAGAGCTGCTGGGACTTGTAGTCCAGCAACTTCTGGGAAGGGCACGCATATTCCCAAAGCAACCGACTCTCTCTCGCCCTTAATCTTTATGCCTTTATGCTACCTCTTTATTGCTTTACATTGGCCTTCCTCGACTCTAGGTCTTTGGGATCACAACACCCATTGTCCCCTGATCGTTGGAAGGAAACGAAAATGATATTTGGGATCACAACCCCCATTGTCCCCTGATCATTGGAAGGGAACGATGGGAGGTGTTGTCCTAATCAAAACAAAGTCTCGAGATGGGGAAGGTTGGTTTAAACGGAAACAGAGGCGTTTCCATCCAAATGAACACGCAACACAAAATGCGGAGTGGGTACAAAAAGGGACCGTTGTGGTTTCACCAGGGCATTAAATCCGCTCCGGGTTTTAGTCTGAACTTTAAAAGGAGTCATCCAAGATGGTGAATGTATTTAGTAGCTAAAGTTCAAGGCTTTCGGATAGCACCCTTAAAGTTCAGACTAAAATCCGGAGCAGGCGCACACTGCTGATACAGAAGCCACCAACCCTATATCTTATACAAGCCACTGGAAGGAACAATACCTCCCCTGCTGTGGGTGCGATGTTCATTTGACTGAATGTACCAAAGGAGCACCTTCCACACTTGTTCATGTGTTACAGTAGAGTCTCGCTTATCCGACCTTCGCTTATCCGACATTCCGTCTTATCCGACGTCCCCGTTTTCCTTCAACATTTCCACTTCAATTAAAGGAGCGCTCGCCAACTCTCTCTCCATTCCCAATAAGTGAAAAAGGCAAGACAAGGAGGAGGAAAGGGTGAAAAGAGGAGGGACCGGAAGCGGAAGCGTCCTCCCTCCTTCCCTCTGTGATTTCCATGCTCCTCTTCCGCATCTGGGCACTTCCTGCTGGGCCTCTCTAGCCCCGAAGCGTTGCCTTGCTTTAACTCTTTGAGTCCCTATTGTTAGTATTCTAGGTGTCGGACAGATAACAGTCGGAGACTCCCTATTATCCAACATTTTTGTTTATCCAACATTCTCCCGGTTTGTTTATGTTGGATAAGCGAGACTCTACTGTATTTTCATTTCTTGGTATTTTCAATTACTTGACAGTAAAGCACTGAGAAGTTTCTGACAGATTGATCTCAAAGCACTTAGGGAAGTTTGTTTGTTTGTCTTTAGTATTCAATTGCTCAGAGTTGTTTTACCTCTTAGAGTAGAAATACATTTGTCCCTCCGCATTTGTTAAGGGTGCAGAAGTGGAGAAACCTTGCATATACCATATTTTCCGGCTTACTAGATGGCTGGTTGTATAATATGACCCTCCAACCTTTCAATTCAAAATTTCAATTTTTTGGATATACTCGCCGTATTAGACTACCCCTCTTGCCAGCCCCTTCAGGCCCCGAAGCCTCTTTTCCTGGATGTTTAGGCAGCTTCTCAGCTCCATAGAAGCAGCCTCTCCTCCACCAGCAGCCAGCCCCTGCCACAGCTAGCCAACCGCCATACTCATCACGTCCTGGATCCAAAACAAGATGGGAGCTCCTAACAGGCAAGGGAGGCGGGCAGCTGCCCTGCGCTGGAGCAGAGTGCCCAAAGCTGCACTCCTCTGGCACCACTTGCCTCCCACTGCCAAGCTTCAGCCTCACTGAGGGACTCTTCCACTCCAGGCCGGAGGAGGAGGAGGCGATGTGGCTGTCCAGCGAGTATATCACCTCCTCCACCGCCACACTGATAGCCGAGGCGAAGCCCACCTCAGCTGTCAGTGCGGCGGAGGAGAAGGAGGAGGTGACGTGGCCGTCCAGCAAGTATATCACCACCTCCTCCACCACACTCAGTGAGGCTGAAGCCCGGTAGCGGGAGACAAGTGGCGCCGGAGGGCAGCCCTCTGGTGCCGTTTGGCTCCTGCTGCCGGGCTTCAGACTCATGGAGGAGCTCTTCCACTCCAGGCCCACCTCAGTTGTCAGTCCGGTGGAGGAGAAGGAAGAGGAGGTGACCGCTGGAGCAGGATGCTCGAAGAAGCAGCAGCTGCTGCACTCCGCCCGCACCGTTTGGTCCTCACTGCTGGACTTCAGCCTCACCGAGGGGGTCTTCCACTCTATGCCCTCCTCGGCTGTCAGTGCGGCGGAGGAGAAGGAGGAGGCGATGTGGTCGTCCAGCTAGTATATCACCTCCTCCACCACACTGACAACCAAGGTGGACCTGGAGTGGAAGAGCCCCTCAGTGAGGCTGAAGCCTGGTAGCAGGAGACAAGCAGTGTTGGAAGGCAGCCTTCAGGTGCCGCTTGGCTTCTGCTGCCGGGCTTCAGCTTCATTGAGGGGCTCTTCCCCTCCAGGCCCGCCTCAGCTGTCAGTCCGGTGGAGGAGGAGGAGGTGACCACTAGAGCAAGACACTCCTCCAGCACCGCTTGGCCCCCACTGGTGGACTTCAGCCTCACTGAGGGACTCTTCCACTCTATGCCCACCTCAGCTGTCAGTGCGGTGAAGGAGAAGGAGGTGATATACTCAATGGATGGCCGCGTCACCTCTTCCTCCTCTGCCTCCGCCGCACAGACAGCCAAGGTGGGCCTGGAGTGGAAGATCCCCTCGCTGAGGCTGAAGCTCGGCAGTGGGAGACAAGCGGCACCTGAGGGCTGCCCTCCGGCACCACCTGGCTCCCGCGTGGGCTTCAGCCTCATTGAGGGGCTCTTCCACTCCAGGCCCGCCTCAGCTGTCAGTCCAGTGGAGGAGGAGGAGGTGACCACTAGAGCAAGACACTCCTCCAGCACCGCTTGGCCCCCACTGGTGGACTTCAGCCTCACTGAGGGACTCTTCCACTCTATGCCCACCTCAGCTGTCAGTGCGGTGAAGGAGAAGGAGGTGATATACTCAATGGATGGCCGCGTCACCTCTTCCTCCTTCACCACCACCGCACTGACACCTCCTCCTCCTTCTCCTCCACCGCAGTGACAGCCGCACTGATGGAAGATCCCCTCGATGAGGCTGAAGCTCAGCAGTGGGAGCAAAGCGGCACCTGAGAGCTGCCCTCCAGTGGCACCTGGCTCCTGCTACTGGGCTTCAGCCTCATCGAGGGACTCTTCCACTCCAAGTCTGCCTCGGATGTCAGTGCGGCGGAGGAGGAGGAGATATACTCGCCAGACGGCTGTGCCGCCTCCTCCTCCTCCACCACCACCACCGCCACACTGATAGCCAAGGCGGGCATAGAGTGGAAGAGCCCCTCGGTGAGGCTAAAGCCCGGCAATGGGGGCCAAATGGCGCTGGAAGAGTGCAGCAGCTGCTGCTTCTTCAGGCGCCCTGCTCCAGCACTGGGCATCTGCCCGTCTCCCTCGCATCGACCCAAAACAAGAAGTTATATTTTTATACCCGGTGTACTAGACAACCCCAAAATTCAACAAGGATTTTCCAGGGTTTAAAAGTCATCTAATACGCTGGAAAATACGGTAAATGGAAATGACAAACCCCATTGTTTTGATCCGATATAACATTTTTAAGGTGTTTGTAAGCCTTTCAGTATGATTTTTATCTTCACCAAAGATTGACCATCGAATCACACTTGGAGGCATTAGTACAGCAATGGAGGCAGCAGTATATAAATACGGTATGTTTAGAAATAATTACATCCGTGACTACCTAACTTTCCAAGTGTGGAAGGACAAATGTATTTGTGTTCAACATCAACAGCACTTCAAATCTTTGTGTGTTATTTATTTATTGCCGTATCCAAGGGGAGGAAACTGTGTTTTATTTTGCAGCAAAACCAAGAGATGTGTCTTTGTTATTATTTATTTATTGTTGACCTGTATGCTGCTTTTTCTCCTGCATTTTAAAAAAGAGTGCTTTAAAAGCAAGTGTATCGTCAACGTGATGCAAAGGGAGGAGAAGGGCAGGGAAAACAGATTTATCCTGATTGTGCAAGTCCTTACGTAATTTAATACGGGTTACAGAGGGCTAGGGTTGGAGGAACACAAGTGGAGGCGGATTTAGGATAATTGGAGCCATCGCTGGGTCCAAATAAACCGGTGGATCAGGCCTGCAGTTTCACAACCATTTTTCCACCGACGGGATACAATTTCTCACTCTTATATCAGATTAACCTCAGATTTCTTATGGGAGAAGAAATACAAAACAAAGTTGGGTTCTGTTTTCCCTTTTGTTGTCAAGCTCCTCACCAGTTCTGACACCACACCATTGTGTTCTGTTTGTGTCGTGATAAATAAACATATCAATTCTTTAATAAGCTGCTATTAATTGAGAAACAAAGCTGTTTTCTTTTCACCCTCCTACATTTCTTCCATATTTCTTCAAAATGCTGTCATTTTCAAAGTCATTCTCTAACTCTCTGTTGTGTTTACTTGCTGTCAAGTCAACTTGGATGTACGGCACTCCTATGAATTAATCACCTCCAAGTTCTTATTAATGGCTGTCAATTTGGCTTTTCCTTATGGCAACCCTGTGAATGAAAAGACTTTGTTATGGGCAGCTCTGCCCCAGTCTTGATTGAATCAGTCCCTGCTGTGCTGCCATGCGCTGGGCCTGTAATAATTGATTTTTTAAACAGGACGTGCTCTTTGTGCCCAGCAGGGAGCTATGGGTGCCACAGGTGAGAGGCCTTCAAGGATTTTCCCATACACAGTCTGTGCAGGTACAACTGCACCAGGAGCTCCAATTTTGTTTGCTTTGCATTTAATGTTTGTCATAGTCCTAAGTTTCAGGGACTCAGCAGATAGGTGACTTCTTTTGGTTGAAATCATAGGGCAAGCCACCTGTCAATTATAGTTAGGTTCCCTGGTCCCGCCCCCTTTTTGGGTTTTTGGAGGGAACAAGAGCCAATTTGGGTTCAGTCCACACAGAGAAGCCTTTCATGCAGGACATAATACCAAGAGCTCCTGTAGAAAACTTCGACTTCTACGGCTTGGCCGGGGAGATACAGCCCCACAGCTTGGCCGGAAGATATACTTCCTTACAGCTCCTTTGCTGAGGGACTTCAGCCAGCCATCACTGAAACCTGAACTCCTTTTTCCCTGGAAGTCTACAAAGCTTTGCTTGGTAAGGGTCACTCGTGGAAGCCAGACGCAGTTGGTACCGGGTGCAGGGGCTCCACACCAACAGAGGCAAAGACAGACTGCCCAGATTAGAAGTTAAGGAATTCCCTATTAGCTAAAATACAGTTTATGAAGATAGTGCCTGTTCCCTGTGGACAAGATTGAGAGAGAGAGAGCCAATAGACTGTTAAGAAAGCCTTAAAGTACCTGTTTGTTTTCATTAATAAAGAACTTTGTTGAACCTTTAAGCAATCTAAAGATTCTGTTTTAAGGAAATCCAAGGGCCTTTAATCTGAGGCAGCCCCGGCGTCCCATTGGGCACACGGAATTTATGTCCTGTCTACAATCTTATGCACAGGCCCAGCGTGCGACAGCACACAGTCCTTAAAAGGCTTGAAATATTTAACAAAGTTCTTTATTATTGTTTAGGTCTTCAATAAAACAACAAACACTTCTTGGATCTTCAACAGATTAAACAAATGCTTCTTAACTTGCCCCAAAATGGACAGGCACCTTGCTTGGAGAACTATTTCCTTCTTTAACAAGGAAAACCCTTTTTTAACCCCTCCCAGGCAATCTACTGTCTAAGCTTTGCTGATACGGGTTCTACTACCGGTTCCAATCTGCGTCTCGGGTCCCAAGTAGACCTACCAGTCAAGGCTATGTAGATTCTCCAGGTGGAGTTCTTTGGGTCAGTAAACTTTTCTTCCAAAACTTTAGGACTATTTCCCTCAGATGGTGTAAAGCTGAGAGGCTGTAAGCTCCCAGCCGGAGCTTTGGGACTGTTTTTCCCCGGAATTTCTGCCCCGGATGCTGTAGGAAATGAAGTTTTTCTATGGATAGAGCTAATCCACGTCCTGTAGCTTAGCTTTCCACTATAAGACTGAACTAAAAATGGCTCCCTCTCTTCCCATGGCCCTGGGGAAAGGGGCAGAACCAAAACTTAACAATGATAGACAGGTGGCTAGCCCTATGATTGCAAACCAAGGGAAGCCACATTTGCAAAAACCCTGAAACCTTGAAATGCATGCAAACATTAAATAGAAAAAAAATGAAGTTGGAGCTCCTGGTACAGCCGTATCAGCACACCTGCCTTTACTTTATCGGCAGCTTAAAAAGCCAATGTAATGCTAGGCTGCATCAATATCTAGACCAGCCATGGGCAGACTTTGGCCCTCCAGATCGGGACCCCTGGGGGAGTCATAAGGGGGTGTCAGAGGGGTTGCGAAAGTTGGCCATGGGGGTTCTGTATGGGAAATTTGACCAGATTCTATCATTGGTGCAGTTCAGAATGTTCTTTGATTGTAGGTGAACTATCAATCCCGGCAACTACAACTCCCAAATGTCAAGGTCTATCTTCCCCAAATTCCCCCAGTGTTCACATTTGGGCATGTTGAGTATTCGTGCCAAGTTTGGTCCAGATTCATCATTGGGATTTTGGGCTGCATCAACAGGAGTCTAGTGTCTAGATCCAAGGAAGTCATGCTCCCCATTCTCTATTCTGCTTTGGTTAGACCACACCTGGAATACTTTGTCCAATTCTGGGCACTACAACTGAAGGGAGATATTGACAAGCTGGAATGTGCAGAGGAGGGCGACTAAAATGATCAAGGGTCTGGAGAACGAACCCTATGAGGATCGGCTGAAAAA